TGTGGCTCTCTGTCCCTTAGAAAATAAATACCAACTCTTTTATATGTCTGGAAACACTTCAACTTCCTGCCTTAAACTACCCCCTACACCCCTCAGTTAAACTCTGGTTTCATATTCCTGACACTCGGTAACATTTAACACTTCCTACCTTTTTTTTTAAAGTTGAGTTTATTAGGGAAACAGAGGCAGACACCCTAAGTGACAGAAAGAAAAATCTGAAAATGTCCCTTCAAGTCAAGTGGGGGCCTGGCCTTTACCTCCCGAGAAGGACAAAAAATTGGTGAGTTAGCAACAACATTCTTTGGCAGCCACCTTGCCAGGGCATGAGTATCAGCCAGAACTGCTGCCTCCCAGCAAATGTAGGGAGGAGACCAAGACTTGTTTATCGAATCAATGCAGAGGCAATGAGAGCTGTAAGGAAAGTCAGAGAGAGAGAGAGAGAGATGTGGGGAGGAGGACCTTGACAAAGAGTCCCAGGCTTTTGGCTCTGAGCACCTCAAATACATTGACAAGTAGTTCTGCAAAATATTACTGAAAAGGTAAAATGCCTAATGTTTTCAAGACTTCCCCTGGACTTCTCCCTACGTGCCATATCACACTGCCAGATGAACATGGCAGAGCCCAAAGGGCACATTTTTAAAGAAAGAAAAGAATAAGCTCTGTTGCTCTTTAAGGAGAGAGGAAGGCGTCGAAGGCTGCTGGGACCTTTCCCACCTAGGCCTGTGTTCTGTAAAGCTACTTCCCGGCAGCAGCCTGGCACAGTTCTAGGGGAGGTTCTCACTTTTTGTCACCCGAGCTTTAATGTACTCTATTCTCTATTCAGTTTCTCATTTAGTGTTGAGAGTCTTGAATGACAAGACATGCCAAACGAATTGAGAAAGTACGTGATTTTCTTGATGCTGTGAGTGATGACCTCAATGTACTCCTGCTTCACCCACTCCTGGTGAATTTTCCACTGCACTGGATCCTCTGGTCCAGCCATGGCTGCCGCCTAAGGAAGAGCCAACATTTCCTACCTTTAAAAATGCTTTCCCTTTGCTTAGAATGCCCTTTATCTTTCCCATCTTGATGAATTTTCCCATTCATTACTCAGCTTCCACGTTACCTCTGAGTCAGATGCTTTTGGTCTGGGTTCAATCTTCCTTCTCCATTTGTGAGTTTGGCTATTCAGGCACTCATCACGTGGTATGGGTATTGTCTATTTCTGAACCTCCTTCCCAGTCCCTCCCCAAATACTGTAATACTGTGGTCACTTCAAAGACAGGGACTCCTCCTAACACAATGGGAGAGGAGGTAATTCTTAAAAACTGCAGGTTTGTACAATTATGTCATGTCATTGTAGTAACACATTTCATTTGCTGATATCATCCCCCTGTTCAGAAGGGATAACTGAAGCCCAGAGAGAGTAAATAACCTGCCCAAGGTCACAGTTCTATAAAGGGATGTGAACCCATTCTTTCACACTCAAAAATATGTTTTTTTTATACTTCATGCTGACACAACATACCAAGCCCAACATTTGAGAGTTGGGCTTAACACGGGAATTTCTATATTGTTAATCTGTTTTGTTACATTACAGAAACCCGTGATATAAAATGAATTAACTGAGATCACTTCTTAGGTAGATTTCCATGCAGAGTTACTGAGAAGTGCCCCCAGGAACAGCACCTGTGAGGGAGCAAAGGCATCAGGGTTGGGCAGGGGAGAAGCTGAATGGAGTGCAAAGGCTCAGTCAATCCCATGGGGACTCAGGCTGGGATGCCCCTGCAGAGTCAGGCCAGCTTGAAGCAAGGGCCCTGTCATTAGATACTGGCTTTCTCCAGAAAGTGGGTATACATCAGAGCACCTGGGCTGAGGGCAGGCCCAGCAAGGAACCCAGGCGGGAGTTGTCAAAAGCCAACGCTCCCCAGAAACGAGGATCACTGCCTTGGTCCTGAAGAGGAAGGTGATCTGCACCCAAAGCACAACATCCAGTATAGGTGGAATCTGTGAAAGTGGTTCCATAAACTGCTAAGTGCTTTATCGTTTCCATGAAATTTTCTAAAAGAAATTTAAAAGGTACAAAGAATTCTATGTAAATTCAGAATAGACCCATTTTGCAGACTAGAAAGCTGCAAAATAATTTTATTCTCATCCTTTTATTTTCATGAAGATTTGTTCAGTGCCAACATTCTATGTTACTTTAAAGAATTCTTCCTAGTGTTACCATTTGTACAAGATGCAAGGTAGTGAAATAAATAGTTTCTTTCAATGCATATAATACGGTCCAGATATGAAATCTCTGCTTGTGGAAAAAAGTTAAGGGAACTACACTAAAGTTTATTTTTAGATTTTACATTTTCTAAATGTTTTTCAATAAACATGTATTATTTCTGTAATTCAGGGGGAAACATGATATTTTAAAGAAGGACATTTGAGAAAAGGGCAGTACTGTAATGAAGTTTTGAACGTAATTAGAGGCAAATTCCAAAATTAGAAAATTGAACATGCTTGGGAAACTTATAATTTCTCTAAAATCAATATTCAAGATTAAAATCTATTAAGCCAGTCTACTGATAAATTTGAAAAGTGAAAGGGATATTGTCATTGCAACAGGATAAACAAGTCATTATCTGAGAATGGCAGTTCTTTTTATTCCTGTTATTTATAAGGGAAACGTAATTCTAGGGGCAGCAGAAACAAGAAACTATAAATAGTAGTAAGGCAGAACGTTTAGTGCCTAGACTTTCGTAGCCTCAGTCCTGTCATGGTTTCTCTAGTTGTCCCTTCCCACCTTTGGCACTGAAAATTTTTTAACTTTTTATTTTGAACTAATTTTAGACCTCCAGAAAGTTGCAAAAATAATAGTTTCCAAACATCCCTCAGCCAGCCTCCCCTAATGCTGACATCTTGCATAGCCATAGCACAGTTACTAGAATCAGGAAGTGAACATTGGTACAGTACTATTGCCTAAAGTTTAGATTTGTTTGAATTTGAAGTTTTTTACTCTGTTTTCCATTTTCTATTCCAGGATCCCACTTTAGTTTAGTCATTATTTCTCCTTAGTATGCTCTAGTCTTTAACACTTCCTAATGATCTTGACACTCTTGAAAGGACTGATGAATTATTTTGTAGCATTCCCCTCAATTTGGGTTTTTCTGATGTTTTCTCATGGTTGGAGTAACTTATGCATTTTTGGCAAAGTTACCATGGAAATGATGATTTTTGTTTTCTCTACATCAACCATATCAAGGGGTCAGTGATGCTGGTGTTTCTTGTTGCCAGTAATGGCAACAACCTTAGTCACTTGGTTCAGTTGGTGTCTACTGGGTTTCTTACCTGTAAATAACTGACTTTCTTTGTAGCTAATAAATATCTTGGAGAAGATTCATATCCTACTTTACTGCAAACTTTCATCCATTCATTTAGCATCCATCAGTTGATTTTGTTTGTAATAGTTATTACTGTTGATCTTAGTATTTGCCTAATGGTGGTTTTCTTTTTTTCCTTTTTCCTTCTACATTCATTGGAATTCTGTGAGGAAGAGCTGCCCCCTTTCCCCACATTTATTTATTTGATTTATATCAATATAGACTTATGAACAATTATTTTATTCTATGGGTTATAATTCAGTACCTTTATTTATTACTCCTGTTGTTCAGGTTTGGGCCATTAGGAGCTTTTTCAGGTTGACTCCTGTATTTTTTGAGCACTTCATTCCTTTTCTGGCATCACAAGATGTTCTAGGCTCATCTTATAGGTTCCTTGCCCCAGTTCAGGAATCAACTACAGTGAGTCCTCACTTAACGTCATTGGTAGGTTCTGCATCTTTAAGTAAAACGACATATAGCAAAACCAGTTTTATCATAGGCTAGTTGATACAAACAAGGGTTAAGTTCCTACAGCATCTCATCAATGTTATAATGAACGATGTTGAACAAAATGAAGTTATTCAAGAACCTGCTATATCTCCAGGGAACCCAGGATCCTTTTTCTTTCTTTTTTATTTAGAACCAAGATCTGATTGCTAGATGTGTTCCTTGCTACAGGGGCATCATTGCTTGTAGGCCCTTTCAAGCATAAAGAGCTGGGATATATGTTTGTGTTCCAACTTGGATTCCCTCATAGCTGGTTCATTGTTTGTTTGGGGGATATATGAAGAATATGTGGGATATTATTGTCCTTCTCAGAGTCAGAACTTCACAGAAAGTCAAACTCAGAGAGGTCTCAGTTCCCCCTCATCCCTGCTAATCCAATGATAGTCCTTCCCCCCCCCCATACTAACCCCTGTAGTTTTTAGTTTATCTTCCCTATATGTTTTGTACAAACGGACAGATACCTGTATATTTGTTTATATCTCCTTTCTTATAGGAGATATCTCTATCCTTTCTTTATAGCTCTAGTCTTTCTTTTGTGCGTTTATTTTTCACCTAACAGTATGTTTGGAAATCACTGATAGAGATCTTCCTCATCCTGTTGTCAGCTGCATAGTACTCCATCATAAGGATGTGCCATAGTTTACCCAACTACTCTCCTGGGCATGAGCTAAGATAGGTTGTTGTTAGTACTTTATAATTACAAACAGTGCTTCAACGAGTAACCTCATACATGTGTTTTTATCAACCTTTTTCATGTGTATTTTACTATCATTGGAAGTACATCCTTATTCATAGCAGAGAACTAGAAGTGGGATTGCCAATGAAAGGTGTACATATGGTGCTTTGCTAGGTATTACACAGTTTTTCTCCAGAGGGTTGCACAAATTTGTATTCCCACCAGCAGTATACAAGTGTGCCTGGTTTCCATGGCCTCGGGAACAGAATGTGTTGTCACTCTGGCATTGAAATTTTAGCACTATAAATAACAGGTCATTTTGGAAATCCTGAGCTTTCCCTAAATTTAGTTGTTTGTTTTTCCATTAGCATACCAAAGTAAATGGGCATATTAGAGGTTCCTTGCATTTTTTAATTTATCTAACACATATATAATGAAATGGGGTTTTTTGTTTGTTTTCATTTTAGGTATTACTCCTTTGGTATATTTGTCCGATGAGTGCCATAACTTACTGGCAATCAAGTTTTGGATAGATATTAATGAAGACATCATTAAACCTCACATGTTAATTGCTGCGAGCAACCTCCAGTGGCGACCAGAATCCAAATCAGGAATTCCTACTTTATTTGCTGGAGATTTTTCCATGTTTTCTGCCAGTCCAAAGGAGAGCCATTTTCAAGAGACATTCCTCAAAATGAAAAATACCATTGAGGTAAAATTAGTTTTGAGCATTGCCGCACTTTTTGGTATTTTCCTGTTTTGAAAGTCAAGTATCAAAGGATTGGCAGCTTTTATGAAAATTGGATGTTGAGATAAAATGTCAGGTGAGGTTTTTTGCATATGTTAATTGCTCTTGAACCTGAGAAAATGGGGATGACAGCTACCAGGGAGAAGAGAAAGATTTGAGGACAATGAGTTAGGAAAGATGGTGAGAAGGATGTTCAAGCTACAGACCATGTAAGCAAACTGGAAATTGGTAAGAAGATTGTGTGTTCATAGTAGCTGGTAGTATAATTAGTTAATACTATGCAGACTCCAAATTTACATTTTAAATTCCGTATCTAGTATTTTATACAATTTGTATCTTTCTTTGATTTGAAATAATCCCAAGGAGGAGAATACTAAAATTATTTTCTTTGGATCGTATGCATTTTTGCTGAAATCTATTTATACAGCACAAATAATATCAGCTAAGCCTAACCTGATGAGGTAGGGAATTGTTTTTCCATTTTTTCAATGAGAAACAGAGAGGGTAAGTCACACAGCCAACTTGGTAGAACCAGGATTCATACTTAAACCATCTGAATACAGAGCCCAACTATTAACTACTATGCAGTGCTGCTTCCCAATAAAATATTGGATTTTATAAATTGCTAACTGTTAAGTAATGTACAAAAATAAACCTCCTCTTAGTTCTATAGTTTAATATTTGAAATATGTGTTATTCAAAAATTATATAAATCACATTTTAAAATCTTTAGAGTAGCTAGCTGTATATAGGAAGTTTGTATCATGTTTACTTAAAGACTCAAAACACACAGTGAAGAATAACATGTAATTTATCTGGTTTCTAAATTGGTGGAGGTGAAGGGTTACTTCATTATTTGGCTCCCAAACAGGGAACCTAGTATTCACATCCCAGCTTTCTCTGAGACCATTCAAGGGCAGTTCATAGACACCTAACTTTTATTGACATAGCATTTGAAAGTTTTACAAAATACTTTTATGATTAGGTTAAACCATATAAACTTGTTGGTATTTGACCATTTGTGACTTCTGATTTCAGTTAATCCTTGGAACAAACATGAAGCTGTTCTCTTATTTTACTCCTAACCTGAGGACTACTCTGTAGATGTTGGATGATTTACAGCTATTAGTAGTAAATAGAGATAGAACTTGAGTCCCAGTCTTCTAACTCCAATTCCAGAATCATAGTATATACCTTGCTAATTAAACTAGATGGTCGGGAATGTCTTGTATATCTCTCCCCTTCCCTGATGCATACAGATACTCTCCCTCTCCCCCTCCAACAGCTGAGCTCTCCTGAATCACTGATGTTAGTTCTGCATTTTTGTATTAGCATAGTTTGACAGTTGCTATCAAATTTGGGGTGTTACTTTTTTTTTCTGGTCTGAATATTTTAGTTCTGGTTTTAAAGGTAACACTTTCTAAAAACATGAATACATAAGTTTGCATTTTATAAAACAGCTTTTCCAATTTATTTTCTTAGAATATTGATAAATTTTGCAATGATGCAGAAAACAAGCTTATGCATATACTTAATGCAAATGATCCCAAGTGGTCCACCCCAGCTAAAGACTGTACTTCAGAGCCATACACTGTTCAGAAAGCCCTTGGTACGGGAAGTAAGTTTCTGGTAAGTTAATGTAAATTTAAGGAATTTTATAATTATATATAAAGGCAACAGTGTATTCTGATATACACCTAGTAAATATGGTAAAATGTAATTAAACTTAATTAGAAAGTGTGATTGTTATGTGACTCTTATAGGTATAGTTTATCTGGAAATTATATCTTGTTTATTAAAGCCAGAATGTAACACTCTTTGGGAGCAAGTTTTACAAACAGGTGGCTTTCATTTTTAGTATTTCAAGTACATGTGATAGAAAAGACTTTTTTGCCAGTATCTTTGTGCTGGGAGGACTATTCTGTACAATTAGGGTTGCTTCTAAGCTCAGTTTGATTTAACTCTTTAAATCACAATAAATGCAAATCAAGCTAAAGTATAATATTAACTAATGACTAATTCTTAAGTAGCTAACACTTGGTAAGTTTATCCCTATTAACTCATTACCTTCACAACCCTCTGAGATAAAAATTATGATCACCATTTTGCAGATGAGGGACCTGTGGCATAGATAAGTTAAGCAATTGCCTAAAGTCACAAAGCCAGAAAAACAGGTATTAGAACCCAGGCAGCTGTGTTCTTAAAATGGTTTTGAAATGCTTATCTCTGTTTAACCTGTTAGTACTATAAAAAAGAAGAGTAAAGCAGAAGTTATGTCCCCTGCTTTCTTTTTTGTCTTTTACTGTGATTAGTTGTCATCCATCTTTTCATGTCATTTTTATATCCTCTTCTGTGAAATTATTTCCTTCTGAGGGAATAATAATAATAATATGAATGTCTCATGAAATCACCTGCCCTATTAGACATTACGGGAGTGAGAATGTGTGTGGTACTTGTGTATTTAAATATTTTTAATGAAAAGCTAATTTGATTTTGTTTTATATATGAGCACATAATTATATATGCCACTTTTTCATTTGTTTTTTATTAGATGTCTTCTGCCAATAGTGAGATGAACTACCAAAGTCCTTTATCACTTTGTAAGCCAAAAGGGAAATCTGTTCCCACACCTGTATCAGCCCAAATGACTCCAAAGCCTTGTAAAGGGGAGAAAGAGGTTGACGACCCAAGAAACTGCAAAAAGAGACGAGCTTTGGACTTCTTGAGTGGACTGCCTTTACCTCCACCTGTTAGTCCCATTTGTACATTTGTTTCTCCAGCTGCACAGAAGGCATTTCAGCCACCACGGAGTTGTGGCATCAAATATGAAACACCTATAAAGAAAAAAGAATTGAGTTCTCCTCAGATGACTCCACTTAAAAAAATTAATGACATTTCTTTTTTGGAAAGCGATTCAATAGCTGACGAAGAACTCGCATTGATAAATACCCAGGCCCTTTTGTATGGTTCAGCAGGAAAAAATGAACTGGTATCAATGGGTGAGTCCACTAGGACTGCTCCCACCTGTTCAAGATACTGTCTTGAACGGAAAAGGCACTGTTTTACTCCTACAGTCACGAAACAGGAGAATTCCCACATTAGTACTGGGGAAACGGGAGATTCTACGCAGGACACAAGTACAATACAAGATATATCTAAGAGACTGCAAAGGCGACAGAACCGAAAATGATAACAATGAGTTAGTCACCTTTCTAGTTTGTAACACATGCAGTTTCAAACTGCACACCCGTATTTGCAAAATGAGAAGTAGTTCTGAATTTACCTACCTGAGTGCTTATATATCGGAGGAATGCTCTTTGCCTGCATCTATATTACTATACTTTTATTTCAGTTATAGATCTTAAAACTGATTATATATTAACTAATCAAGGGAAAAAATCACCTTTAAATGTTTTTGACGGGATTTGCTCACTACAAGTATTTTACAAATGAACTACACATACCCTTTTCTTTCATATTGTGTCCTTAATTAAATGAAACTAGGTTTCCAGGTACAATTTTTTGACTCACATAATTTCTTTTAGTTTAGTTCCTATTTTCAGTTTGGGTTTTTTTTTGTTTGTTTTTTAGAGGTAACCCACTATGAACCACTTTCCTTAATGCATGTGTTGGTTCTACTATAGTTCTGTCCTGATCAAAAATTGGGCTAAGATATGACTGGTGCTTTCTTTTGACCAGTTGTTCATCCTTAAGTCAGCATAACTACAAGAAAAATAGAGTCCTCAGTGTAATTAATTCCTTTTTATGATTTCAATGTGATCTTTGAAATTAAATTATTTCAATTAAAAATTCAAATACTTTAATTCAGAAGCAGATTTCGTAGTGTTAATTTTGTCTTTCAAATTGGCCCTGATTCTGCCTGCTTTGTTTTAGCACCTTCACAGGACACGCTAAGGCTCCCTGTACCCCTCGTTTTCTCTAAACACCCCTCCGGGCAGAAGGTAACAATTCAATTCAGGATGATACTCTCATTTGTTACTTTCTTATATTTAATAGAAAAGAGAAAAAGCAGTTCTCACTATAACCTAACAGCATGGAGAAGCTCTTAAATCAGGTCTTTCAGTGTCTTAAATTTATATCATATATATTTTTTAATTACCATTTACATTCAGTATTATTCTGTATTAGTTTCAGGTATACAGCACAGTGGGTAATGTTTTCAAATATAATTATAAACATATTTCAAAAGCAAGGATAAATCCTTTTATGAAGCAGTTTTTTCTTTCAGTAACTATGACCCATGATTTTCTCTCCTCTAGAAGTTATTAACACAACAAGTCGTCTATTCCACTAGTCTTTTTAACTTGTGTTCTGCCCATTTTATTAATGCCATTTAAGTTTTGTCCATAAAACAATTTGGTCTTCACATGCTAAATCATTTTCCCGGTGATCCATTCTAGAATAGGAAATAAAACTTGAGTCTCAGGAACAGACAGAACTATAAGAATTTAACCTTCTTTTATCCTGGAAAAACTTACCTGCTGTTGCCTCCTCCATTACTCATCACCACACAGACCCATCAGAGAGGTTTAATGCGCACCCTCCTTTTTGTAAATTGTAAATAATATAGCTAAGCTATACGAGCAAAATATGAAGCTTGAGGATATGTGGGTATTATCCCCCAAAAAGTGACAATTTAATGATTACAAAGTCAACAGTGTACACTGCATAGGGGATAAATGGTAAAAGCAATTTGTGTTACCTATTCAGCACTCAGCCTCGTGTGCATGTAAAGCACTGAATAATGCAAATGTGAACACACGAAATAGTACGTGTCAACATTGAGGGTTTGAAAAAGTATAAAATCAGAGAAATAAAAAAATAGATCACTTCTAGCTGGGATAGATAAAGTTGACAGCATTTAACCAGTTATTTTTATACTTCCACACCAAGTATTTTAGATATCGTATGGGGGAAAATAGGCAAATAAACCAGGAAACTATTCTTCTGGGCTCTGTAAAAGCTCTGGATCTATAACCTGAGGCCACTTCTCCATAGTGGTCACTCAGTCCCAGTGGCCCAAAAGTCCCTAAGCAGAGAGCCAGACATAAATCAAGAGGGCTTGAATGTGACCCCTTTGGATTCCTTGGAATCAAAGGAAGGTATTTCCAGTTTGGGCTCTCTGACACTCTTCCCCTCTACTAACCTAAATGAGTCAGGCTTTCCTGATTGAGTGAATTCTGCAATAATCACATTGACTAGGATACTCAGGATTACCTGGGCCTGGACAGCAGTATTATGTGGATTATCATGATTATTAGAGGATTATTGTGGGTCATGCTCGGACATAAAACTTAGCAAAACTATAATAATATCTTAGATTTACTCAAATTCACTAAATTTTTGTTCTATCAGCCAAACTTTGTTACTCTAAGGAGATACAAATTTTTTAAATGTTAATGAAAAATTACAGATGCACTGCTGGTAGTCATCAAGGTGTTGAGTAGATTTCAGTAGAATCAGATAATAGAATGTCAAAGTAAAATAGTCTTTTGAAAGTGCATAGATAAAATAATTTATGTAAGCAAGTAAAAAATAAGGTTAATTTTGTCTTTTATATCCTATTTATTAAAGAAGATTGGTAAATAAGTTTATGATATAGAAAAATTGGCTCTGAATATGATAGAATTCTGTAGAATTTAGGCAATTTTTTATATTGTTGAACAAAAAAGGCTTAGATTCAATGACAAATCCATATAAAGCAATATCATATACTGTAATTTTTAATAACCATAAAAGCACCATTATATAAGACACTTAATACTTCACAGAACATTAGCGAGAAGCTGTTGGCCCACAAGAAATAAAGCACACATCCTACATGGTCTTATCTATCAGGGTCTCACACAAAATTAATCTGATTTCAGCCTGTTCAGATTTAATTTGGATTCACAAATTCAGTATTGGTATGAGGGACATTCCAGAGTTGTGGTAGAACTTCACTGTCTTAAATAATGTCACATAAAACACCAAGACTGCTCATCTGACAGTGAGCACGACTTTCACAAATCCCTCTATGACCTATGACCTGGGATGCTTAATTCCTTATACTCCCAAACACTGGGGCTGCCAACTAATTGCATTTATAAGCAAAATTTTTTAAGTTGCTTAATGATTAATCTTAAAAATTGATGTTTTAGAAAGGAGGCTTGTTTCATTTATACTATTAATACAACAGCCAAAAGTTAGTTCAGGTTTAATCCTGTTCAATAGAGTAATAGTTAAAACATGAAACTATAAATAGTGACTTTAAATAATGACACCGATTTTCCTCAGTAGCTTGTATAGCTATTAAGAAGGATTCAACAGACATTTTTAACAATGATATGTTACTAGAATAAAGGAATAATTTCCCAAAGTGTCTACTTTGAAGGACAGTATTCCCTTAGATGTATACTTTTTATCATATTCATTTTAAAGGAAAATCAATATCATCATTACAGCCACACATCTCACATTTTTGGATACATAAGTTTAAAAACTAGCAATGGCATTAAAACTTTTCCTGCCTCTCACTTCTCCCACCTTTCCAACTTTCCTAATGGAGATGAATTCCTGAAAAAATAGATTACTTCAGAGAAAGTGGTACTGAAGCTTATATATACTATAAACATTTTATTTTATTTATGAACCTATGCAACTGATTACATTCTTGGGTATGTTTCTCAGGTTTCAGCTTCAAATTAATTTTTTCCCTAGAGGGAGTGACTTGGTTTAACTGAACCTGCAGAACTCCTGGCATCAGACCATGCAAAGAGGATCACTTGAACAAATGCCTGTTGAAGATGAACATGATGACTTCTCAAAAACATTTAGGTTCGACTATTTACACTAGAATTAGAGCTCTAACTAAACTGAACAAAGAATAAATACCAAAAATTGAAGAAAAAGCTAATTTAGGAAAATCCTGAATGCCTGTAAGATCAGCCTCTAATATCCATGGTGACAACCCCCCCTTCTGTTAAAGGAGCTCTCACGTGTGAAGCCCCCAGGAGCCCTCCGGTTTGGAAACTCGGCGTAGGTATTCCAGTATCCTGCCCCATTGGAAGGCGATGCACCGCTCCTGTCCTGGCTTCTGTTCACTCTGCTTGGTTTTTCTGCGTGAAGCACACTATGAAAGGTAACACCATGCTCATACCGTTCTTTCATTCGGTGTATTTTTTCTCTTGGGACTCCATGAATGTTTCTTCTATGTGGAAAAACATGCAAACATTTAATTAAGGGCATATATCAAAATGAGTTCCTTGTATTTTATGAGTCCTATATTATTACATAGGTGTGTACTCTCTATTCTCAGGATTTAACTGTGACAAAAGGAGAACACCTTGTTAAGTAGCCCTCTTTCAGGCTTCATTCCTGTCTTTCCTGCTGCCCTGCACACCCCTAAACCACTCTGCAGCTTGCAGAGAGCTAATGCATCAGAAATATTTATTTCTGGAAATCTCGATTCTGTGCTTCAAGACACAAAAGAACACCAGGACATCTTTTTATTATAGATTTGCCTGTCAAGCATGAATATATCTATAACCAGTTTACTTTGGTCAGTCCTAGACACTTGTAGATGTTTATTAAACCAATCTTAAATTGTAGTGGGCATGAGAATCAACTGGGGTTACAGGTCAAAATGCAATTCCCAGAGATTCCAACTATAGAAAGGGGTCCACGAACTAGGATTTTTAACATCCAGCTCAGGTGGTTCTGGTTCACAGACCCACTTTGGATACACTGTATATCCTTTTAACCATAAGATGAACTAGCCCTATTCATAAAAAGTAAATTCTGTTCTCACTGGTTACTTTAAATCATTGACAGTATCAAATAACACAGATAATATCAGAACCCATGCATTCAATCAAGAAGTTAGTATTATTTGGACATTTATTGCTTTATAAATTAGAAGCAGCATCTGGACCACAAATGAACCACAGACTGTTCAGCATCTAAAGATACTTATGTAGCCTAAATGCAAAACCACTACTGACATGTGCAATCCCATGCAGAAGGAAGTGCTTTTAAATGTTCATTAATGAAGAAGCATTTTAGCCGAATGTTAAATGTATCCTTTTAAAGGACTGAGTCCAAGCCAAGGTTTAGCATTTAGCATTATATTAGAAAACTGACCCAAAACTAAAGTCTTCATATTAAGAATTCCCAAGTTATCAATTTCTAAGAATTACCATTTCTGGCCTGAAAACTATGTCCATTTCCAGCCTGAAAAGATTCTTTTGTTCGGTCTGAAATACCTGAAAACAGCAGGACACATAATGAGGAACTAGAAAAACAAAGAAGTACCTGGCTAACTCTTGCACGTTGAATTTCCAGCGAGTCTCAGGTTCTCGGAATATAACTTCATAGTTATTTTCAAGTGCCTGATTTTTCAAAAGTACATAAAACATTGAACACACAGTATGTATGCATGGGAATGTTCATACTGGCATTTAACATTCACTACACATCTTTTCTAAAATTCCTTTTGTTTTACCAGTAAGACAGTGCCTCAGTTTATTTTAATAAATACAGTTGATTCATGGCCATACTTAGCCACTCTCAGATTACGTTACAGTTCCCAATGATAAATTTTGGTCCATTTTATCTGCTACAGAGGAAAATTATAAAGGTTATTTGTTCTGGACACTTTTAAAAATAGCTGAACTAGCTTAAAACATCCTGTCACAGGTATGAACAAGACCTCAATGGCTTCTCAGAGTCCCTTATAGGATTAATCATTGATTTATGTCTGTCAAATGCCTTGTCCTAGTCTTCATGTCTTGGTTAGAAAATGGCAGTGCCATAGGAACAGAGCTTATGACATAAAAGTGATTCCTCCATCCTTTACATACTCTTCCCTCCAAAAGTAGCTTTCCCTACTGTGCAGTAGTTATGGCTCAGTGCACTGTGCCCATTTCCTTGTTAGAAAACTTACAGTTTCCATATAAACACCCAAACGTCCTTTGCATTCATAAATTGACTATTATGTTTTTATCTCACACTGAACTTTCAGTAATAAAAGTTCAATGAAAAGAGCTAAGTAAAAAGATTTCCTCTTCATTCTTGAGATGAACACTTCTAATTAGGGAAGGATTCAAGCATCATATATGGAAAATATCTAACTTCTGGGTCTTATTAATAGCTGTGAATGGCTGAAAAGGAATGTACACATCCAGAAAATAAAAAGTAACACTACTTCCCTTAAGTCACTCTCAGTTCCCCCTAACTCTTGGTTTTGAGTTGTGCCTTAATTAACTTCACTCTTCATGTCCCTGTTCATTTCTGTCCCAAGTGGACTCTCGATCCATGAACTGAAGTCATCATAAGGTTAATGCTCATTCCCTCCTGCATTCACCAAAGTCCCACCCTCTGGGCCTAAGTGAAACTGATGAGAATATAATTAGAGAAAAGCACACCTGTATATAAGCTATTTTACCCAAAATGTGAAAAGAGGCTTAAAATTAGACTGCCTTGAGCCCAATTTGGGAGCTATTCATGTGACAAAAGCAGAATACTCAGCTGTCTTCTTCCTTCCCCCTGATTGTGTCTGGATCTTTTCTCCTTCCTATACCCAATAGGGAATGAAAATTTATTAGCATAAGAGATGAAACATGTCTAAAAACAGATCAGACATTTCAAAATTAAAGAAAAATATGCACATTGTATTCATCTTACTGTTTTTTGTATTCTGAAAATACAGAGCTGAGTGTTTATATTTGCATGCCAGTATCTTAATAGGATCACAGTGTTCATCTTAAATCTGTTTTTAAACTAAAAACTGTTGCCCTGGAACTCCCTTGCAGCAACACTGCCTAGTACTAAACTCCCCTGCTAGTGAAAAACAGACTGTCCTCTAATATAATCTGCAACCCTGCTAGTCCCAATTTCTCTGCAAGTTTCAGTGGGTGCTCCATGTGGACCTTCCCTTAGGAAAACAACCAAGACAGAAAAGCAATAAAAAATTCTGACCACGGACTATTAAAACTTATACCTTGAGGTGATCATAGCATGTCAGCATATTAGAGCCATTGAACAGCAGAGGAACACAAAAATAACACCTCTTTACCTGCTCTGTGAGAAACTGTTAATACATATGAGATCGTGGAAGATCAGAAAATGAGGAAAGAACAAAAGTTTCAATTTTCTCACAAAATGCCCATAACTGAAAATTCAGAATGATACTTCTTCCTACCATGACTGCATAGGGCTTCATTTCCCAGGCGTGGAGGTTGGTATTATCAATAATTATGGGGGATATGCCATTCCTCATTGCTTTTCTTGCTGCAACACAATGTTATACAACAGTGAACAACATGCAACAGTCAGACAGAAGGGTGAGCGTACCCATATCTTGTCATTTTTATTACAGCATGTCCTCATCACACAACATTAATGCTACCTATTTCAGGACCCATTATCAATCATTTTCTTTTTCCTGGAATCTAGGGAGGTTTGGCATTCTGTTTGGGGAGGGGGGATGGCAGAACTTTTTATTAAAATCCTTCAATAAAACATTCATTCTGCAGCAGCTGCAATCTAAGTGCACAATAGGATTATCCAGGAGTTTGGAAAGGAATTTGTCACCTCTTTTCTGGTTCCATTCATGAGCCTCCTCTAGGAAATCTGGATTGAACTCATAGGCACCATCTTCCCTGAAGAAAAAGTCATCCGTGCTGAAAATCAGGGCTCTGGGAAAGTCATGTTGCAGTTGTCTAGAAAATGGGGAAGGAAGAAATTGTTTTATGACTGCATTGTTGTAATAGAAAATCATCTCCTTCTGTCTCTAACATTTAGCAGTTTGTAATTATGAGACCACCAGGTTTTGAGTTGCTGAAATTCAATCTAAAAACAGGTGCATATTATCTCTAGAAGCCATAGCTCCTTGAAAAGAGGCAGGAGTGGGCTGAGAAGCAACTGTGTGAGTTGCCCAACTCTTGAAACTAAGAAGTGCTGGTCCCTGCCACTGACTTCTGCAGCAACCAGGACTAACCCTAGAGCAGGGCTGGGAAACGTCCAGCCCGCAGGCCAAAGAGCTCACAAAATCATTTGGTCTGGCCCTGCCAAGGCAACCACAGGCGGGACTCAAAATTCAATAAATCTAGGAGCTTTTTTCATAGCTAATTTTTTTAACACTTTATTAAATTTACTGGGGTGATAGTAGTTAATATGAACATATAGGTTTCAGGTATGGGTTTCTATATTACAAGATCTGTGTATTGCTCTGTGTGCCCACCACCCAAAGTCGTATCTTCTCCCATCACCATATATTAAGACTCCCTTCACCCCCTACCCTCTCACCCCCTTCCCTCTGGCAACCACCACACTGCTGTTTGTGTCCACAAGTTTCAGTTTTATATCCCACATATGAGTGAAACCATATGGTTCTTAGCTTTTTGTGACACTTATTTCACTTGGCATAATACTCTCAAGGTCCATCCATGTTGTTGCAAACGGCAGTATTTCATCCTTTCTCATGGCTGAGTAGTATTCCATTTTGTACATTTACCACATCTTCTTTATCCAGTCCTCTATCACAGGACACTTTGGTTGTTCCCATGTCTTGCCCACTGTGAATAATGCTGCAGTGAACATAGGGGTGCATATATCTTTGTGTATTCATGTTTTTTAGTTTTTTGGGTATATACCCAGGAGAGGGATAGCTGGGTTGTATGGTAGCTCTATTCTTAATTTTTTGAGGAATCGCCAGACTACTTTCCATAGTGACTGTACCAATCAACATTCCCACCATCAGTGAATGAGGGTTCCCTTTTTTCCAAAATCTCTCCAAAACTTGTTATTTCTTGTCTTGTTGATAATAGCCACTCTAACAGGTGTGAGGTGGTATCTCATTGTAGTTTTGATTTCCCTAATTGCTAGTGATGTTGAACATCTTTTCATATATCTATTGGCTGTTCGTATGTCTTCTTGGAAGAGGTGTCTATTCAGGTCCTCTGCCCAATTTTTGATGGGGTTGTTTGTTTGCTATTGAGTTTTATGAGTTCTTTATATATTTTGGAAATTAAACCTTTGCTGGAGCTACTGTCTGCCAATATCATCTCCCATCTGGTTGGCTGCCTCTTTGTTTTGTTGTCAGTTTCTTTTACTGTGCAGAAGGGTTTTAGTTTATATAGTCCCATTCATTTATTTTTGCCTTACTTCCCTTGCCTGTGGGGTCAAGTTCATAAAATGTTCACTACGACAAAGATCCATAAGTTTAATACCTATGTTTTCTTCTGTGTAACTTTTTCGAGTCTCAGATTTAGGTCTTTGATCCATTTTGAGTTAAATTTTTACATGGGGACAAACTATATTCCAGTTTAATTCTTTTGCATGTGGCTTTCCAGGTTTCCCAGCGCCATTTATTGAATTTACTCCATTTCTATCATTTACTCCATTGTGTGTTTCTGGCTCCTTTGTGGAAAATTATCTGCCATATACATGTGGTTTATATCTGGGCTCTCAATTCTGTTCCACCAATCTATGTGTCTGTTTCTGTGCCAATACCATGCTGTTCTGATTATTGTAGCTCTGTAGTATATTTTGAAGTCAGGTAGCGTTTTACCTCCAGCTTCATTCTTTTTTTCTCAGGATTGCTTTGGCTAATTAGGGTCTTTTATGGTACCATACAAATCTGATGATTTCTCATTCTATTTCTTTAAAAAAGACATTGGTATTTTGATGGGGATTATATTGAATCTGTATATTACTTTTGGTAATATGGCCATTTTAACTATGTTGAGTCTTCCAATCCATGAACACGGGATACTTTTCCATTTCGTTATCTTTTTCAATCTTAATAATGCTTTGTAATTTTCAGTATATAGGTCTTTCATGCTCTTTGTTAAGTTTATTCCAGGGTATTTTATTCTTTTGGTTGCAATTGCAAAAGGAATTGTTTTTTTTTCTTTCATTTCTTTTTCTGAAGTTTTGTTGTTAGTATACAGGAAGGCAATGGATTTTTGTACATTGATTTTGTATCCTGAAACTTTACTGTATTTCTTTGTTGTTTCTAATAGTTTTTTGGTGGAGTCTTCAGAGTTTTCTACATACAGAACCATGTCATCTGCAAAAAGTGGCATTTCACTTCTTCCTTCCCTATTGGATACCTTTTATTTATTTTGCTTTATTGCTCTGGCTAGGATTTCCAGAACTGTGTTGAAGAAGAGTGATAAGAGTGGACATCCTTGTCTTGTTCCTGATCTTAGAGGAAAAGCTTTCAGTTTTTCACCATTGAGTATGATAGCTGAGGGTTTATTATATGTGGCCTTTATTATGTTAAGGTACTTTTCTTCTATTCCTCTTTCATTGAGTGTTTTAATCATAAATTGATGTTGTATATTATCAAATGCTTTTTCTACATCTATTGATGAGATGATGATTTTTATCTTTTGTTAATTAATTACATTAATTGATCTACATATGCTGAACCATCCTTGTGCCTCTGGAATGAACCCCACTTGATCGTGATGTATTATTTTTTTGATCTACTACTGTATTCGATTTGCTAGTATTTTGTTTAGGATTTTTGCATCTGTATTTATCAGAGATATTGGTCTATAGTTTTCTTTTTTCGTGTTATCCTTGTCAGGTTTTGGTATCAGGGTTATACTGGACTCATAAAATGTGTTTGGAAGTATTGCCTCTTCAATTTTTTAGAAGAGTTTGAGAGGGATAGGTTTTAAATCTTCTTTGAATGTTTGGTAGAATTACTAGTGAAGCCATCTGGTCCTGGACTTTTATTTTTTGGGAGGTTTTCTTGTTTTTGTTTTAATATGACTTTATTGATTTCAGAGAGAGGAAGGGACGGGGGGAGAAGGAGCTAGAAACATCAGTGATGAGAGAGTCATTGATCAGCTGCCTCCTGCATGCCCCTCACTGGGGATCAAGCCTGCAACCAGGGCATGTGCCTAGGAATCAAACTGCGATCTCCTGGATCATAGGTCAATGATCAACTAGCCGGGCTATTTTTTGGGAGGGTTTTGATGGTTGTTTCAATTTCCTTGCTATTGATCATCTATTTAGATTTTCCAGTTCTTCATGATTTACTCTAGGAAGGTCATATATTTCTAGGAACTTATCCATTTCTCCTAGGTTATTGAATTTCGTGGCGTATAGTCTTTCATAATATTCTATGATCCTTTGTGTATCTGTGGTGACTTCTCCTCTTTCATTTCTGATTTTGTTTATATGGGTGTTTTCCCTTTTTTCCTTAGTCAGTTTAGCCAGGGGTTTGTCGATTTTATTAATCTTTTCAAAGAACAAGCTCTGTGTTTTATTAATTTTTTGTATAGTCTTTGTGTTCTCTGTTACATTCAGTTTTTCTCTAATTTTTATGATTCCCTTTCTTCTGCCGACTTTGTGTTGCTTTTCTTCTTCTTTTTCTAGTTCTTTAAGATGTTATGTTAGGCTGTTTACTTGAGATTTCTCTTGTTTCTTCAGACAGGCCTGTAATGATACAAACTTCCCTCTTATTACTGCTTTTGCCACATCCCAGAAGTTTAGACATGTTGTATTGTCATTCTCATTTATCTCTATATATCTTTTGATCTCATCTTTATTTCTTCTTTGACCCAGTCATTTTTTAGTAGTATGTTGTTTAATCTCCATATATTTGTGGGTTTCTTTACTTCCCTTTTGCAGTTGATTTCTAATTTCAAGACATCGTGGTCAGAGAATATGCTTAGTATAATTGCAGTCTTCTTGAATTTGT